TGATTTGGAAAATATTTGAACACCTTGTCTTAAAATATTTTATTCATCATGTTAAAATAAAATGTTCCATAATCATTTTTTTTCTTTTTTCAATTTTTCCAATTTTTCAGAAAAAAACAAAAAAGGCTTCAGGAAAAAACGGGGAGGGGGACGTTTCCCCCCAAATTTTTCTGTTTTTTTCCCGGGCCTTCACATCTCTAGTCCTGTTCCGAGGCCCGGGTCCCTTCATGATCTGATCACCAGCTACACACAGTGCCCCAATTGTCTGCCCCAATACAAGCATCTCCCAACTGTCAACAGACTTTTCAGGGGGAGAGACGTGGCGTGTCCTTCCAGTGTTGGGGACCACCAGCCGTTGAATTGTGGTTGTACGTAATACCCGGTGTCAACCTTCAGATGAGTGTGAGAAGAAAGTGGGTGGAGGTCATCTTATGCCACTGTTCCCATGGCCAAGCAGGGCCCTGACTTTGCGGGTGAGGTATAATATTACTTCTGGACACTTCTCTCCCCAGTGAGGACCAATGCTCCCTCTAAGCTGTGGAGCCTTGTGAGCAAAAATTCTACTTCATGAACTGCTGCTGGCATTAAAGTTGTGAGTGAGCGATTTGGCTGCTGCAGAAATTCGTTTGCTCTGGAGCCTTCCTTCCTGCGCTGAGGCAAAAAGGTGTGAGCCGGAGGCTAAAAAACTGTGAGGGTAGCTCACACTAACTCAGCTTAGAGGGGACACTGGTGAGGACCCAAAGCAGCTTATCCTCTTCTCCATTTAATCCTCACAATAACCCTGTGAGGTAGGTTAGGCTGAGAGTGCGGGACTGGCCAAAGGTCCCCCAGCAAACTTCCATGGTACGAGTGGGGATTTGAACCTGTGTTTCCTAGCTCCTAGTGTCACACTGTAGCCACGACACCATGCTGGCTTTCTGTTTTTGACTCTGGTTCCACTCCATCCTTCCTTCGTCTCTGTCTGAAAGTAGGAGGCCATGTTTTTGGGGCTCTGCAGGACCCAATAGGAACAATCCCCCGATCTGCTATTAGGTCACTGGCCCGTCTTCTGGTTTTGTTTGTTTGTGTGTTTTTGATTCAGTTATTTTATACATTTGATTAGTTTTAATTGCGTATTTTAAAAAATGTCGTTGACCCGGATCAGGCTGAACAGCAGCTTAAAAACGTTTTGAATAATAATGGTTATAATAGCTGTTCCTTGAGGTAAATTGGCAAAGGCCTCTGTTTTCAAAGTTTTCAGAGTGTAGTGGGGAAAGGCGCACAGACTGTGGAGATGCGTGCATTTGTAATGCTCAGGGATTAAATTCTGTCAGAAACTTTGTCTTAAAATGAGTGTTTTTCTCCTCAGGAGTGGCGAAGGCCGAACCGTTCCGCCATGGGTTTTGGAAGATACAAGGTAAGAATTTAAAGGAAAGAGAAGGGTTCTTATGCCTTATGGAAGCTGAAAGGTTATCTAAACGGCTGCCGTTCCACCGAGTCTGTTCCGCTTGATGTGAATTGGTATTACGGCAAGCAAACAACATTGTTGTATTCATTTCTCATTTTTCAGAGCAAGCAGGGTCAGTTGTGATCCCTGAAGAAACTTGATAAGTGCTTTTTTTGGAAAATGAGAGAGACCTAATAATTGGGGCTCATCTAAGCAATTACAGCAGTTCAGCTGAAGTGCATTTAACAGAAATCTCTTAATTCACTTTGGGTCATGTTGTTCCCTGGTGAAGTGGCTTAATGAAGAAGACTCCGCTGTGGATCAGAAGTTTTTTCCCCAAAATGTCTACTGTGCAAGTACTAGTTGCTCTTTGGTTTGTGGCTGAATGGGAATTCGAACCCAGGTTTTCCGCTTAGTACTCTTTTTCTCTCTCCCCATTATTTGGTTTTAATTATTTCAAAAACTCCTTTGCAAAAAGAAAGGTTTATAAAAGAAAATATGCACAATGTGAGCCAGCTTTGAAAACAGAGCTGTGGCAGGTTGGTAGCAAAAGGGCCATTTGAGGTCTCAATGCAGGACAAGATGTGCCGCAAGGGTTGGGGTGGATTCTCTTTACGGGCCTAGCTCGGTCGTTCTCCAGTGCCTCCTTTTGAGAGTTCTATCTGATCTTATTGCCAGTTTTCATATGGATCCATTGTGGGATGGGCCGGTTCTGTTTCTGCTTCTTCGAGCCACTTTGGTGTAGTGGTTTGGAGTGCAGACTCTAATCTAGTCACATGTTCCATCAGAGCTGTTCTTTAAAGAGCAGTCATCAAAAGAGCTCTCTCAGCCCCACCTATCTCACAGGGTGTCTGTTGTGAGGAGGAGAAGGAGACTGTAAGTCGCTCTGAGACTTCTTTGGGTAGTGAAGGGTGGGGTATAAATCCAATCTCCTCTTCTTCTTCTTAGCAAGAAACCATTTGATCTTGAATGTCTTGTGGAAGGACATGGTGAAGACTTCACAACCGGTCACCACAATGTCGCAGCGGAAGAGCCCCTTTAGTGCTCTTTATTCTCTTTATTTAAAGCTTGCTCTCATGGTGCCTATCATGTACTTTTAGAAAGTGGGTGGGGTCAGGTGAAGCTTTTGTCCAGCAAGGCTTCTGATTGGCCATTAGAGATTTGATTGGCTGTGTTGCACCACAATACAAGGATCTTCACTGTGTGGCTGAAGAGAAGAGCCATGGCTAGCCATTTTGTGGCTAGCTCTGCCTCCCGCATCATCCATTTTGTGGTTGCGAAGACGTCCACAAGCTCTAAAAGATTGGAGACCCCTGATGTAGCACATAAAAATGTTTTGTGATATGTTAATAAGATTTAAAGTACGAATGCCCCAGTCTTATTCAAAGGGCTGAAGAAGAAGAGAAGAGATTGGATTTATCCCCCACCCTTCACTACCCAAAAGAGTCTCAGAGCAGCTTGCAATCTCCTTCCCCTCCCACCAACAGACACCCTTTGAGGTAGCTGGGGCTGAGAGAGCTCTTTCGAGAACTGCTCGTGAGAGAACAGCTCTGAAAGAACTTGTAACTGACCCAAAGTCACACCAGCAGCTGCATGTGCAGGAGTGGGGGGAGGAATCCACCATCAAGATATGGAGCGATATCTTGCATATCACATTTTATGTCTCTTAATATCTTTTAATGTTTTGTGTTTGCTTTAAATTTTTTGAGCTGCTTCAGGCAGGTTCTTGGAGAGGTGGCGTTAAAATTTTCTGAATAAATAAGTAATTTACCAGCTAGGAGAATGGCCAAAAATAAAAGAGCTAGAATAGCAGTATGAAGATTGCTGTAAATAAAAATGGAAGTTTTTATCACCCGAACTTGGAAGCAGCCTTCTCTATAAGGTCAGCATTACCCTGGAAACAGATAAAGCCTTTCTTTTGAAAGAGTTCAGTAGGTAAACACCCCTGTAACGAAAGCAGGAACCAGACGGGGGAGAATCGTTCAAGAGTCATGGTGTTTTCTCATGATGCGCAAACATTCTTTTCTCAAACGGGCAGGTTGTAATATGAGAGGCTGGCTGCAAGTATCCTCGTTGATCCGCAGACAAATCCCGAAAGCATGAGAGATGGCCTACCTTTTTATTAGGGTTGACCCAGCAAACATCGCAAAATGGTATACGAGCTTTTGAGTTCTGTAGAGCATCGTCTGGCTGGATGTTCAGGACAAAAAGAATGTGTGTGTGTGTGGAGGAAATCACTGGGCGACTTCTTACCGGTCACTCTGACTTTCAGTTCTTCACCAGGTTGTTGTAAAATGGAAACCAATAACCATGACCATGAATTCCACTCTTGTCGGAAGGGCAGGATAAAAATGCACAGATAGAAAATAATTCTGGGTCAGATTCAGTTACCTGCTTCTGACAGTGCGTGTGGAGGAAATCACTCTGACTTTCAGTTCTTCACCAGGTTGTTGTAAAATGGAAACCAATAACCATGACCATGAATTCCACTCTTGTCGGAAGGGCAGGATAAAAATGCACAGATAGAAAATAATTCTGGGTCAGATTCAGTTACCTGCTTCTGACAGGTTGGATCCGATGGTTCTTTTCTGCGAGTCTTTCTTCAGTACAAAAGGAAAAGTTGCACCATAACAAGGACAAGTCACTGAATAACAGTAATAGCTAATGAATCTACCCTGTTTATGAACACAAACTATGAATTTAAAGAGAAAACGAGTCCTCCCTAATAAGAGGACGCCACACCTGCCCTCTCCTGACTTTCGATTTCCTTTTTACTCCTTAGAGCTCAAGCAGACGCAACTGGATGGCTGCTAAAGATATGCAGAGATACCGGCACCACTACCCGGTAAGGACTTGGCGGCTGTCTGTCGTTCTCTTTATTGAAGATAGGTTGAGGCGGGTAGCTGTCAGTGGTCCCTCTAAGCTGAGTTAGTGTGAGCTAGCTCACAGTTTTTTTATCCTCCGGCTCGCCCATTTTTGTCTTACCTCAGGAAGGATGGTTCCAGGGCAAACTAATTTTTGCAGTAGCCAAATTGCTCGCTCACAACTTTAATGCCAGGAGCTCACAAAGCAGAATTTTTGCTCACAAGACTCCACAGCTTAGAGGGAGGAGCCTTGGTAGCTGAGTCGGTCTGAAGCGACAGAAAAAAGTTTTCAGTCCAGTGGCACCTTTTAGACCAACAAAGTTTAATTCTGGGTATAAGCAGAGGTCATTTCGAGGGGGATCGCGGGGGATTGCAGTTCCCCTGGGTGAGTTACGGGGGGCGGGGCACATGACGAAGCCCCGCCCCTTGCTTCCGGCCGCCCCGCTTCCGGCCCTCATTCCGCCAGGAGGAGGCAGGAGAAGAGGGAGGGTAAGTTACAGTTTTAATGTAACATGAATTACTCTGTTTGGCTAAAATATCCACTAAAAATTTACAGTTGATCTCCTCTTGAATCTCCTCTTGAATTTATTTTGTTTATGGATTATCATTTGTTCGCCCTTTGTACAAAGATTTAGAAATTATTATAGACACATGTATTAAATTATCTCCACTAAAATGGATGCAAAAACCACATTAAACACTCTGAGCAATCTACTTCTGAGGCCTAACACAAACACTCTCTCTAGTCTAGCCCATTCTTGTGGTTCTTGACCCCAGGTCACACCAGCAGCTGCACGTGGAGTAATGCGGAATCCAGAGGTCATTTCGGGGGGGATCGCGGGGGAATGCAGTTCCCCCAGGTGAGGTGCGGGGGGCGGGGCACACAACGAAGCCCTGCCCCTGCTTCCGGCTGCACCACTTCCGGATCTCATTC